CTTTCTTTAAGGGTGGTACTAAAACATTATCTAAAAAGATAATCAATTAAAAAATTGCAAGTTTAAAGTATTATAAATCATAAGCTTTGAAATAACTAGTAACAAAATAAAAAGTTTTTGCCTCCTTTATCCAAATCTTAAAACACAAAAAAATCGCAGAATGAAATATCCAAAAGTGTAATGCAATACCATCAATAGAGTAAGCTGGTTGTATTTCTAATTTTTTTTTCTGTGATTGAGTAACAGTTTTATATTTTTGAGGATTTTTCTTCAATGCATTTCTTTTAAAGAAGATTTTCTCTTCATTTTCGCGATTTTATTGTTGTTGTTTTTTAATATCTGACAGAAATTTTAAACCTTCAAAAACTTGACGAACATCAGTATCACCTTGATTAAACTGTAATGTAGGTAATGAAACTCCGATCTCCAAAACCTTTTTTTCTACAAAATTATTTTTAATGCATTTTTTATGTAAAGTTCGTATGGTAGAATTCAAATTTTAGTATGATAAAAAAAAATCATATAGTAGAATTCAAATTTTAGTATAATAATAAAGTTCATATAGTAGAATTCAAATATTATTATAATAAAAGAAATCATATTGCAGAATTCAAATATTATTACAATAAAAAAAACTTTTGTTTATTATTGTTATCTAATTATAATAAAATTCTTTTTAAATTGTTTCATTTGAAATTCGACGAATTTTTGGGAAAATTCGTCTTTCGGTCATAAAGATAATGTTGTAATGCTTGATATTGGCAAAACCAAAATATGTTTGGCGTTGCTAAGATGTTGTTAAAGGAATAAAATTATAGTTAAATTTTTAAAATTCTGATATCTCATAATATGATTACAAAACCATTTAAGGTTTTTTTGAAACTGGAAACATATATTGAACCAGTGCCACCTTTAGTTCCACCTTAATATGGTTTGTTTGCGTGTAAATTTAATTTTCATCAAAATTTTTTAAGTATAAAAGACTCATTTGAACTTTTACATTTCAAGCAACCGTGGGGGCAATGGTTAGAGTTCTGGCTCATAATCAAAAGATTCGCGGTTTGACGGCGATTCTTGCCAAATAAGTGATGTTGGTTAAATGCTCTTCTACGATAAGACCGATAGGCCTCTTGGAGCACCTTAACAACTAAAAAAAAAATCTTAAAAGGTTTAAAACCAACGTACAAATATACAAAATGAAACTTTAAAATTTTTGTTGATTTAAAGTTTCGAAAACTTTTTTAAAACCATCTTAAGAAGATTTTATAAAGATTTCGAAAAGAAATTTATCTATCATCAAATGTTCATAACTGTATGCTTTCACAATATCATTTTGAGAACCAATAGTTACAATAAGTTACAAACTTAATATTATTTTGAGAAACCATATTTAAAACAGTTAACAAAACTAATATCTTATCTAAATATTTTATCAAAATTAAATATTTTAAGACAAAAAAAATACTTCACATTTATTACATAAAAATAAAAGAACATAAAATTTATGTCGCATTAACTGTTATTGTTAAACTGAAAATTTTTTATCAAATGAACAAAGTTAACTTAAGTTAAAAAAAGATTTTTAAAAAATCTGCTGCTTTGACGATGCTAAAAATGATGTCGAGCCAACAGTTTCTGTTTTCTAAATATTTTTTATAAATCAACTATTTTGTTTAAACTGTAATTTGTAATGAAAAATCATTAAAAAAACATAATAACCCTAGAGATACAATACTACCAGATGAAACTTCATGATTCATTTCACACAGATAATCAACCAACGATGATACTTTAAAGCTCTTTTCTTAGATCTCCTTAATTTAGAATCATTGCAATGTTTCGTAAAGACTTCTACATCAAAACATAAATTACCACAGTAACAACACAACTTGACTCTGAAACTTAGATAAATATTTTTTAATAAATGGAGAACATTTTGATATAATAGTTCTATTTCATTTTTTTTTTATGGCATTGAATAACCTTAATTATGATGCATCGAGCACTAACCGTTAATTGTATATTTAGCATTCAATTTTAGATCAAAACTGTTTCCTACGGGACAACATCTGTATTTGTTTATTCAATTTTACATATTAAATAGTTTTATATTTTAAAAAAAAGATTAATGATTTAATTGTTTTATACGTTTGTCATAAAAAGAAATTTCAGGGGTATCTAGGGTTTTTTAACTTTACAAAATTTCTTAAGATATAACTAAAATTAAGCTTTTCAAATTTTTACACCAACAATAACAAAAGGTGTAATGCTGAGACGTCTATATTTGTTTTTATTATAGTATAAAGGTTTTACTTCTTTTTTCTTTTTTTTTTGAATTTTGTTTTTTGTCCTTGTTTATTCTTGTTAGAAAACTGGCTCCTGTCAGTCAAAGTATTAGGACTAAAAGTTACTCTGACCAAGACCCTAAAAAAATTACTTTCAAGCTCTAACTAAAAGGCTTTTATGTTTGCAACTCTATTTATATTTTATGTTTTTTACATACAATAAATTGTTTTATTTTTATATATATTTTTTTGCAAAACCATTTATTTGCCATTACATTCTTTGTTAAAATTTGACTTAAATGAACTTTTTCGAAAAATCACTGTCTTTTTGTTATTATTAAAAGTTCTCTCGCCTAACCTAAGAGTATCCAATACGCTGTTTAATCAGATTAAATCAAGATTGTATTAACATTTGACAGTTCACATAACAATAAAACTCGGATATTTGAATATATTGCGTATATGCTAAGTCTAATATTTCGTAATTCTCTATTTCGAAAAGATATTTTTAAATTATATTTAATTGTTCAAATTATATTTAATTGTTTAAAGTCAATTTAATTGATAATATTTCAGATAAATTATTTATATGATACAAAAAATTATGTTAATTATGCCTACGCTAAAATTGTTATAATTATATAAGTTTGTTCCGTATACATATTGTAAACTTATACATTAATGCAGTTTTAACAATTTACTTAAACTCTCCATAATCCCCATTCCTAATAATCAGCTAGGTGGCTTGTAACATTTAAAAGATCTTTTTAATCCGCAAATAAAGAGTCTACAAGACATATATATTGTCTGTTTATTGCTGAAATTTGAGATCATGTTTTATAAAAAACTTGTTTTTACTAATTTTATAAAACAGCTAAAAAGCGCAGGGCCGACAACACGGGTTTTGAAGTGGGGGGGGGGGGAGGCACAATCGTTGACTCTTAAATCTAGAATTTTCGTATAAAGGTCCTTCAGAAAAAATGGGGTCCCCTAACCACTCCCCCGATGTTGTCGGCCCTGAAGTAAAATAGTATACACACTTATACACACACACACACACACACACACACACACACACACACACACACACACACACACACACACACACACACATATATATATATATATATATATATATATATATATATATATATATATATATATATATATATATATATATGTATATTAACATCTTTAAAAACCTGACTAGTTATATTTATTTCGTATAAATACTGAAAAGAAATAAAATATTTCAACACTTTGTAAAATATGAAAAATTTAATATAACATTCTTGAAAGCAGTTAGACTAGAAACAATAAATACGACAACTGCTTTATCAACAAATGTGAAAAAAGCTTTTTCATTTTTGACTTATGACGTTACAATACGTCATAGATTATTAATTATTTGAAAGTGTGATGGTAAGTGACATAATAAGGTAATTTTAATAAGGTATTTGACGTAAAACATGATTTACGTCATAATTGTTACGTCATAAATTGGGGAAACAACTATCTATCCGAAATCGTACAAAAACGACTAGAGGTAACTAAATATTCCTTAGCATAACCTTGTAAACATGATTACATTTATTTGACTTGTAAACATGATAGTGCGTGTTTAATAATAAGTTGCTAAGTAAATTAAGATAAGTAAAACTCTGCCCATCTAAAGATTTTATACATAATATTTAAAAATTTAATGACTTTCATACTAAAGTTTTTAAAACATTTAAAATAAAAATTTATATATAATATTTCTAATAATTTTGAAAATAAGTACTATAAAAAAACTTCCAGTTTCATTTTTTTGTTTCAAGAAAACAAAACCGTGAATTTTACATATGGGTACAATCAGGAATGAACCATTTCTAGGGAAAAGAAAAGCCTTGAAAAAGTTAAAACAATTGATGTTACATTCTAATAGATTTTTTATTAAAATAAATTAATTACCACTTAACTCCTTAATTTTAATTTTGTTAAAAACTGCGTAGTGATATTGGATTACTTGTTCCGTCAGTCAATTTATAAATAAAGTAAATATAAAGTTAAATATAACATTTGTTTGCAAAATGTATGAAGTTAATAATATTATGCATCAATTTTTTTTTTCTTCTTAACTTCGTTTTTTCTTACTATCATAAATATGTAAATTTGTTTTAAACAACTTGCTGTTGTTTAAAATAACAATAACGATTATTTAAATGCTTTAACAAATCTTTACACGAACGATTTTTATTAGTTAATAAGTTATTAACGACTTCTGTCTCGAAGTCATAATAATTGATAACAACTTTTTAAATGTCGGATTAACGATGAAAAAAAACAACGTGCATTAACGTTCTCTCATAACGATGTAAAATTAAAAAAAAAATGATAAGGTAAATGAAAATATAGCAACCGCTATTAAAACAACAAATTTATATGGAGTTTATAGCGGTTTCTTGAACAAACATTTCTTTTATTATAAACGAGAATACTATTAAATGTAGTAAGGAATTTAAATTTTTTATATGTATGCTGTTTTTGCAAATCTTCCGACGTTCGGTTTATCTTCTTGAAATTGGTTCATAATATTGACAGCGGTACATAATCTTTTGAGAACATTTTTTTGTTTAATGTTTTAGGTTTATTATCAATAGTATATTATAACGCTTTAATCTTTATTACAATAAAAATAATCGGTGACATTTTTAATTTTATTAAACTTTTGATATTGGTGCAAAATCACGGAATGCTTGTCAAAGATATTAAAAAAAAAAAAAAAAAGTTAAAATGGCATCTTACAACTTTTTGCGAAATAGAGTTTTAACAAAAAGTTTAAAGGTTAGCTAAGTTTTTGTGAATACAGTTTAAAAAAAAAATAGTTTACAAGATACATCGATGTAAAATTATCTCTGTTTCTATATATATTTAAAAGTATATAGCGTTTTTTACTTTTTATTATCGCTGTTATTATTATTATAAAAACTACTTATAAGTTTTTGTTGTTATAATTAATATTGTTTTGTTTATTATTATTATTATTCTTATTTTTATTTTTATTACTACTATTATCATTATTATTTTTATTATTATTATTTTTATTATTGTTATTGTTATTCTTCTTCTTCTTCTTCTTCTTATTATTATTATTATTATTATTATTATTATTATTATTGCTATTATTATTATTATTTGTAGTAGTAGAAGTAGTAGTTTTTGTTGTTGTAGTTGTAGTAGTTAAATTTGCAGTAATAGTTGTAGTAGTAGGATTTGTAAATGTAGCAATTTTTGGATAAGCAAAAATAATACAACAACAGTAGTAGTAGTGATAGTAATAAAAGTAGAATTTACTGCGTTTTTAATGTTTTTTGCTTTATTAATTGTTTTATATTTTCTGGCAGCTTGACTTTTGTATGAATTAGATGTTTTTGCAGAGTATTGAGTAAATATTCTCAATTAAAAAAGGTTTATTTGTTTTAAAAACGAGTTTAACATACCTTCACAACTTTTTACATTTTTATGAAACGCAAAACATTTATTTTTATTAGTTAAATCCACGCTAAAAGTAGATAAAATCCATGGTAAAAGTAGTTAAGTAAAGTCGGTTTCTTATTAAATCCTATACATTATAAAGGTGGGAGCAGGAATTATTTTTTTAATATATTTTTGTGTGTACCAACAGTAAATGGCTGAACTACTGATCAATTTTTTCATTTTGGAGCATATATATATATATATATATATATATATATATATATATATATATATATATATATATATATATATATATATATATATATATATATATATATATATATATATATATATATATATATATATATATATATATATATATATATATATATATATATGTATAAATGCATTTAAAAATTAATATATAAAAAGTTGTAAATTTTTTTCACTTATTTTTTACCGTACTGGCAAAATTGCTTTTTTACGATTATCTGTACCGGTAATGAACATGGTATTTAGTTAGAATTTAAAGTAATTTTCTCTTTGAATTTCGAAAAATAATTAAATTAAAAAAGACTTAAACATTAAATTGAGAACTTATTTCAAAAATTTATTTTATTTACAACTGTTTAAAAATGTTATATGATTTTAAAAAGTATATATAAAAAAAACTTTAGAATAAAAAAGAAACTAACATATGGAAAGTCTCCCGATTGAAGTTACACATGTAAGAAATGAAAAATTGGAGCCATATAAAAATGGAAAAAAGATTGGAAACTATTTACTTGGGTCAACTATAGGCGAGGGTTCTTTTGCTAAAGTCAAAGAAGCTATCCACGTAATAACTGGTGAAAAAGTAAATTTTTTAAATATTCCTCTAGTATAACTTTGTAAAATTACTAAAATAAATATCGCTTTCCCCACCCCCACCTATTTTTTTTCTTTCTTTTTTGCAAATTTAAAAAATATAGTTGCTAAGATGGAAAACAAAATATTTTTCTTATTAGGTAGCCATAAAAATTATAAATAAAAAACATGCGAGTGAAGATCGTTACATGCGTAAGAATCTTCGACGCGAAGCGCTTATTCAACAACGCGTGCGACATCCAAACATTGTTCAACTATTTGAGGTGCTTGAAACTGAGCATTTTTACTACCTTGTTATGGAATATGCTAGTGGAGGTGAGTTGTCTGACTATATGACAGAGAACAAAAAAATTGATGAAGCTATGGCTAAGAAACTAGTCTTTCAACTTGTGTCTGCAGTACTGAGTATGCACAAAGCAGGAGTAGTCCACAGGTTAGTTTTATCTGTAGTTTGATTAAATTGAAGTACTTTTAACTAATATATAAAATATTTGTAATTTATATAACAAATGTAATTTTTAATGTTATAAGTTTAAGTATATGAAATTTTATAAACAAGTCAGATATAGAACTTATAAAATTGTTATTTTCTAAAATTTGTTTTTAAATTGACTGTATTTTATATTGCTTATCTTACAAGTAATAATACTTGGGTTAAGCTTGTGTTTCGATAGTTAATTCGATATTTTAGAGATTTGAAAATTGCAAACTTCCTTCTTACTGAAGAAAAAGATCTAAAAATTACAGGTGAGTAAAAAAAGTTATTTTAACAAATACAATGTTTTAAATATACGAAATAATATGTGGTGACCTCAGAAACAAGAGATTCAAAGTTTGATGCTTTCTCTGGCCATATTTGCAATATTGGTAAGAAATATAATACAACGGCGTGAATTTCTTGTTAAATTATTTTCAGTGGTGGTCTGTGGCACGACGAGAACTTTATTTAGAGCACCTTAATAGCCAAAATATTTATTTGTATTTAAAAGTTAAAATTGTTGATTTGGAAACAGTATTTAAATAATATTTTAGATTTTGGATTAAGTAACACTATATCTGAAGAAAGCATTGAAGCATTTCAAAAGACAGGAATTTTTCCTCAACTGCTCACAACGTATTGTGGAAGTCCTTTATACGCTGCTCCAGAAGTTATTGCACAGAAAACTTATGGACCTCAAGTGGATGTTTGGAGCGTGTAATTAATTAAAATTATAATATACATTCTTTTATATTTTATATTAAAGCAACAGCTCGTTTATCTTCTTTCAACATAGTGATTTTAAAAAATTTTAGCGGAGTGAACATGTATGCCATGTTAGTGGGATACGTACCTTATTACATAGAGCCTTTAAATCTGATGACATTGTACGAAAAAATGATGCAGCGAAACATGTCACCTATACCCAAATTTTTATCAGAAGGTACGTACATTTTAAGAATAAAACTTGAATATTGTTTATGTTAACTTGAGCATTTAAAATAAAAGATCAATACGTTATTTTATTAAAATTTTAATAAAATATTTTTAGAATGTAGAGATCTTATTATGCGACTTTTGGAACCTATACCAGAATGGCGCATTACTTTAGAACAAGTTCTACATCATAAATGGTTCAAATCTTTAGAAAAAATTCAGTGTCACGTTTCACTTGGTGATGTAATGAGCGCAAATAAGCAGTTATGTAAAAGCGTTCTCACTTACATGCAACAAGTTCTTAATATTGACTATAATGAAGCAGCAACAGCGGTCTTTTCAAACAGGCAAGTTATAAATCATTGAATATATAAAATAATTAGCTAAACAAGTGTTACAATAATTTTATTACTATTTCTTAATTCATTGTTAACTTTTTTCACATGTATTATTAATTTTTAACGATGTTTTTGTTTAGAGCTACGCATGCGTCTGCCGTTTATCATCTTTTGATTCGAAGATATGATAGATTTATTAGGAGTAAGTCATTATGTTACAGCAACTTTCAAATAGAAAATTCTGTAGCTGGAATAACTCCCACTTTTAAGCCTTTAAAAGTAAAAAAATATTTGTATCAAGGAAAAAAAATTGCATCATTCTCTAAAACACAAAATGTTTCCCCTGAAAAAGAAAAAAGTAAAGTTGATTTTACAATAAACAGCATTCGATTGTCTGGTTTCGAAAAATTAAATATCTTAGAAAAAAATTTTGACAAAGTCAAGTCAAGTGAAAAACTTTCGCATTTTAGTATAGACTCTCATAAAACTCCTCATCGTGAAGCACATTTGTCACTGACTATCCCAGCAAAAACTGACAAGAATACTCCGAATAAAGAACCGATAGATATACAGATAAATGAAAGTTCGAAGATCAAAGATTCATCAAATATTTCGGTACGTTTTTAAGTATTTTTGTTTAAAAAGTTGATATTTGATCATTTTTAAAATATTTTATTGTGACACTTTTTTTTACAGCCTAATATTACTGAGTGGAAACTAACAAAAATTCATAAGAAGCCGTTATTGACCGCAGATGAAGCAAGCTCTTATAGAAAATCTTGCACTAAAATTTCACAAATCGCAAATAGTAAAAGCAATATAAATGGTGTCAACGAGTCTATGAATGTAAACAAATTGAAAAGCCCTAACAAAACACCTATAAAAATGATGTTTTCTTCTAACGAAATCGAAAAGTTATCGTCTCTTGAGCAAAATGTCTATACTGTGCCCCCGAATTCCCACGAATGCGCCGTAAAGCAATCAAATAATGTAGACGCAGATGCATCTCTGCCTTTTAGCTCTATGAATTTGGATGAACTAAAACAGGCATTAAAATTTAGCAAAAAAAAATTTTTGGAAACGCATAAAACAGTCACCGGAAAATGCTTTAGTCCAACAGCAGCCAACTCTAAAACGGATATTAAAATAACTGATAGGGAAAGAATCTCAGAGCAGTGTATATCACCACCAGCCGCAACAGTAAGACAGTTAACAAATGATTTTACTAATAGCTGCATTTCTCAAGGAGAGTTGTTAACAAACATTACGGATGACGAAAACAATAATCCAATTGATAGTTTACTTAACTCAAACAAATTCACTTTCAATGAAACGTTGCAGAAACAGAGTTCTGAGTCGCCAACCATAAAGAACACTCGGTTAACAGAAGAATACCCGATCCGAATAGATGATCACCAGCTCCGGCTGAATGATCAGACTCCAAAAATAGTAAAAATAGCAGCCAATAAAAAAACCTTTGAACTTAAAGTTAAACAATTTGCACAGTTTAAAAACGAAAACAATTGTGACAGTAGCTATTCAAAAAAACCAACCAATGGATTTTTATTAAAACCGTTGGAATTTAATTTAAACTTTCGAAACAAAATGAAATCTTATCATCAAAAAAAGCAGACGTGTTCAGAGTGTCCAAAAATGATATCAGACGACCTTATAAACAAGAAAGAAGATGAGGTGCAAGGTAAGGATAATGATTTTTTTTTTAATTTTTCTTATTGCTATAATATGCGGCAAGTGTGACTAATTAAACTAGCAAGTGTTATTTTGTTATGATTGAACTTTTGAAAAGTTTTTTTTTATAAAGAAAACAACATTTTTGTTTTGTGTACCCAACGTTATAAAAATGTATATCGATAAAAATAGGTTCTAATACTCGGTTAAATCTATTTGGTTCAATGCTTATTATCTAAAAGAAACTTTTGTACTGTATTGTGTATAAGTACAATATCATGCAAAGTTTAGCTTTATGCATTTATATATACTACATTCTCAAATTATTTTTTTATATATGTTTAATAAAGCACATCTAGTTAAAAAGTTTATCAAAAATACTCTATACAAGTGTAATGATAAAGTCAATGACATATAGAAGTAACGTCGGTTATAACATTTTTAAAATACTTGAATAATACTATTTTAAGATTAATAGACATTTTGACCAGCAGGCGACTTCTTAAAAGTAATTACAAGTTGAATTTTACTATTATTTTATTTATGTTCGCGAGAAATACGTTATCTTGCGTTATCTTAAGTAAACTATAATTAAACAGCAAGTTTACAAAATGACAAATCGTTTGTGCTGTGAAATATTGTTTTTTAAGTAAACAATATGACAAAGTTCACTTTTGATGTTTTTTGTTTGGGATAAATATCGACGTGAGTATTAAAAATTCAAGTATATAACCAACTACAACATGTACTCTTTATATTCGTATACATAATTAATTTGTGAATATATTTACTCTCTAAAGAATCTTATAAAAAATTCTGATTTCGTAAGATATTTTATTTAAAATGTTTGCATTTTTTTTATTTTCTAAGGAATAGTATAAAAAAAGTTTTTATTTTATGAAGTATTTTTACAAAAGATTAAAATATTTGATGGAACTCGGATTAAGTAAAGATGTATAAACATTATTTTCATTTAGGTGAAACAACAGAAGACGCCAAGTTATCTTCTGAAGGATTATCTTCTATTGAAAGCTGTAGCATGAATAACCATAACACTGATTTTATATCGTTTCCTACAGATGTTACAAATACATCAAACACATGCACAGATGATACTCATAAATGTACAGATGATATCTACAGATGCACAAACAATAACAATTTATTTACAAATGCTACAGATGAAAATGATTTGAATAAATTAGATTCAAATACAAGACCAACTCAAAAAACATCAATTAAAATTACTACAAAAAAGCATAAATGTAATATAGAAAATTCAACAGTTCATGCCAATTCAAATAACGATTCAAAAAGTTCCACCAACTCGTATGATAGTGGGTTTTTTGGTGCTAGCTCAACTGAGGATGGAATCATTAGCAGCCCAACAGATAGTAATTCTAACAATAAGAATGCAACAAACCCAGAAATATTAGAGGGTCAAAGAATATTTTCAAAAATACAAACCAAAGAAAAAGATTTTTACAGGCCCACGTATTCTCAAACTCCGATATTTAACAGAAAAATTGAGTTTGGAATAGTAAACGATTATGGTATACATAAAACTTGGGGAAGTATGGAACTGAATAAAAATGATATTAGTATGTCGTCACAAAAACCTACATTTCAAAGAGCAAACTCAAAAATTATGGATAACAAAAATAAACAGTTTGCACACGAAATTAAGAGAAATAACTGGAGTTATGCTTCTTTACCTCATACAAAACTCAGGACATTAAATTTGTCAAAAGAAGACAATATTGAAAAAACTTTGCAAAGTCCAATTATTCACAACCCTCGTTTTCTCGATGACGTATCTATGTCCTCGATAACATTAACAACCGAACCTAGCTTGGGTAGTAGGTCTTCTAAAACTTTTAATTTAGCTCGAGCTTTGGAAAATGCTCAATTAAGGAGGCGAGGAACGAAAAGCGCTTTAGATAATTATTAACTTTTTTTATGATGATGAATAGCTAACTCAGACCTAAAGTATAAAAATTTTTTTTACTATGAATATTAAATTTTATATATATATAAATTTTCTACTTTTGTGAAGCATGTTCGCGTTAATAATAGTTCAAATTTCACATTACAAATTAAATGTTAAACAAAACAAAAAAACATCTAAAAATACTTTGGTTTTTTATTAAACAAATATTAGAAACTTAAAGAGCACTTGATTAGCAAATTAAAGCTCCTCCTTCATATGTTGCAATAAAATAGTGTCAAATTTGGTTACTTAATATTTAATAGCTAATTTCTTGATTGATTAGTAAGTTCACTTTGAATTTTTTGATTGATTAATAACATCTAGTGATGAATATTTCCGGAAACTTTTAAAAACATTTTTTTAATTCACTCATTTACTCCTATATAATAAAAAAAATTGCAGAGAAATTTGCATCTAATCCTCTTAGAAGCCAGATATTTGTCATTTTTTTTGTTAAAAATATACATAAGAATGAAAAGCCACAAGCTATTTAGAAAAAAATTTTGTTTTACATTAAATTTTTAGGTTACTTAAATTTTTTTCTTCCGCGTAACACATTAAGGCATAGCCATTTCAGATAGTACATAAAAATCAATACTGTCTTTACTTAAATATTCAGTTATATTCATCATCATCTTAAATTTAGACTTAGTGTATATAGAAAAAAGGCAGATTTAGTTTGAAATTTAAATGTTTTTCCAAAAGGTTTCATTCAACACAAAAATTCCTTCGTGCGGATGAAATGTCCAATAAAATCATAGGGTTTTAATCGTCTGTAGACAGTGATAGATTGCAGGAAGAGGGGGGGGGGCAATAGCTTCGGGCCCCGAAAAGTCTTAATCTGCCACTGTCAGTAGAGAATTATACAAATCGTTAATAAATGTCCAAAAGGAGTTATCAGTATAGCAATCATTATAATTACTTTATCGCTATACTCATAAAAACCAATATATTAATATATTCTTACCAATATATTAATAATATTGTTGTATCTATTAATATTGTAAAAAAAAAATTTTTAATAAACAATTGTTAGTATTCTTATTACTAAAAATATAATATTTGTTGTTGTTGTAATCATTATTATTACCCTTATTACCATTGGATATTTAGTTTTGGACTAATAATAACTAGCAGTAAGCAACTTGTAATACGTGTTATTAGTAATTAAATTATTAATAACAATAATAACACATTAATAACTTGATATATCTGAAAAAATTAAATAAAAAATTTATCTATAAATAATATTTTAAGTTTGACTTCCTCTCAGCCATGTCATTGCTTATCGTTAAGGGCATAAAAAGACTGCACTAACATCAGTTAAGTTCTTTTTAAAATCTGTTACAACATAGCAAGTACCAGAGAAGAAACGTCAAGTAAAGCCAGCGAATACCTAAAAAAAAATGAAAAAAAAATTTACAATTTTCAATTACAAAAGTATTATTTGCATTTTATTGTTAGTATAGTATTAGGATAAAAATAAAGCAAAATATAAAGAATAAAAATATAACAGCCTAGTTCTATCAACACAAAACACAGTAATAATAGTAACAATGTCTCCAGAATAATTAAAAAAGAAAAGATTATAAAATGGCTAGACAACACAACATAATAAAACTGGCAGATAACACCACAACTTAATAAGATATTTTATTGACTAAAATACTTTCACTAAAAAGTTTTTATTTATTTCAATATTTGAACAATCGAGTGACAATTATAGTTAATTTGAACAATTATATCATCAAATAGTAAGCAACTTGTAAAATATTTCTTATAGATGGTCATTATCAATGGTGGTATAAGAAATATGAAGAACTCAGTAATTACATAAGTTTTATCAATTCTCTTTGTACTAATTCTCATTTAAGTCTTATCTAAGAGAGAGAAGGAGAGATAGAAAGTGTTTCCAAAGCAGCATGTTAAAAAAAGTATAAAAAACACATAATAAATTATAGTATCTGGTTTTATTATGTCACCAGTAAACAAGATTATTTTTACCTTAATTAAAAGTTAATTTCCAGCATTTCTTAATTAAGTTCCAGCTTCTCTTTAACTGTTGACTGATGATTAATAGAGTAAATTTCACATCATATTAAATTTACAAAATTAAAACCATGTTTCAACAGTAAGCCAACTAATTAAGTGATGACAAAGGCAACTAAAAAAAAACAACATAAATATGATTGAAATTATAAAAAATATAAAATCAATTTAATTTAAAACTGTTATTAATTGTTACTATAAATAGTAAAATTCATACTTTGTTTTGTTCTAAAGTGTCTAAAGTAAAATCAAATTAACAGACATTAACACTGCTTGAAACTGAATTCTTGCAAGTAAGTTTTCTGCTCGTCGAGCAGTATTTCTTACACTTCAACAACAATTAATTACATCTTACTTAGATTTATCTCTTATTTGACAACAACTATTTTAAAGTTGCCTATTAGCATTGCCAATTGCACTAAAAAATCATCTATTAGCATTTACGCCTCATAACCTGAGCCTAATATTATCCATTTCAATTTTGATGTTATCATTAAACATATTACCAGTATTAATACTATTGTTACAACTGAATAATATATGAACATAAATGAATCAATATATGAACGTAAATTGCGAATTGTGATCTTTTCTATTCAAAGACTATTTTAACTCAATATATTTTGAAATCCATATTTTTTATAAGTTTATATATACAAGCCATTTATCAAAAATATAAAACAATATTAACATCAATTATTTTTAATTTAACAAACAATCTAGACTAAACAAAATTAGTTTTACCTTAATGCGCACAAATAATAAATGCACAATCTTGAATAAAAGATGTCAGTCAATATATTTTACTCTAAAGTAATTATATATATATATATATATATATATATATATATATATATATATATATATATATATATATATATATAATATATATATATATATATATATTTGATGCAGAGACTTACAGAATGGTGGACGCTTTTTTATAACAAATTTTATAAATAAATTAAGAAAAAAATAAAATAAAATAAAGTAAAAAGAATAAAATAAGGAAATAAATAAAATAAAAATATAGAGAATGAAGAAAAGAAAGAAAAAAAGAAAAAACTAAAAAAAAATTATAAAACAAATCAAACAAAATTAACAAAAGAAAAAGGAAACAAGAAAAGAAAAAGGAAAGACAAAAAAGCAAAGTAAAAAGAAAAAAAAACATTCGAAAATGGAAAAGAATTAAAATAAAATATAAAAATTGAAGAGAGAAAAAAAAAAAAAAATAAAGTCTTATTATTTATGAGTGACAATATGTGTTTGCTTGAAATGATTTTCTTTTTTATTTTAATATTGTCATTTATTATGAAAACTTTATACTTTTCGTGACTAAATGTTTGTGTGTGACACGTTTTTATTTGTGAGTATTATTGAATAATTTTTATTTTGTTTATTTATTGCTATTTTTTAATGAAGTCTTTATTTCACTTTTAATGTTTTTATTATGATTATTTATGTTAAGATTATTATATTTATTAAATCATTGTTACTTTTTTTTGCAGTAATTGTTTTAGTTGCATGGTAGGTTGTTACGTTTTGTCAGTACATAACTGTTTGTAATTTTCCTGTCTGTACATTATATTCAATAGTTGTTTTAAAATTAATATTGGTTTATTATCATATTGTTTAACTTTTAATTTATCATCATTATTATTACCATTATTATTTGTATTATCAATCTTATTTCATAGTATTTGCTTAAGATTAGTTTTTAACTATTTATAAATGACCTCGAATGTAAGATCTTTTATCGAAAAAAAAATATATATATATATATATATATATATATATATATATATATATATATATATATATATGTAGTGATGCTGTTTTGTGCATATACTATCAAGAAAGTGCTCGATGAATTAAGTCAGAGCTTTGATATAGTAGAAAAAATTTTATTTTCTACTATATATATATATATATATATATATATATATATATAATATATATATATATAATATATATATATTTTATATATATATATATATATATATATATATATATATATATAATATATATATATATTTTATATATATATATATATTTTATATATATATATATATATATATATATTATATATATATATATATATATATATATATATATATATATATATATATATATATATATATGTATATATATATATATTCACATACCTTTAAAAAGAAGCATAACACTTTGAACAATGAAATATGGAAAAACATCATCATTTTTTTTTTCAACTTCTTCCAGCTTTTCTTAGAGTATTTATATAGATACATAGAAATATAAAATATACTGAAATATTGAAACATTTGATAAATGTTTTTGTTTTTTTATAATAAAAAGGTGAATAATAAAAAAAAGTTTTAAACGGTAGAACTGGCACTGTTTTAAGTAGAGGTGTCCCGGATAAGCTATCCGGCCGGATATCCGGGCCGGATATCAATATTATTCGATAACCGTTATCTGGCCGGATAATAACATTATCCGGTTTTCGATAAACCGGATATTTCAAGTTGAAATTTAAGATTTAATAAACCAAGAAATGTTATATTTTTAAATATTCTAATGTTAATGGTTTCTATTCAAAATTGTTATTAATATTAATAATAATTTATTATTCAAATACTATTAAACTTAAACGCAACAAACACATCAGTTTATCACTCATTTATAAATTTATTTCCATTATGATGAATAAATAGTAACATTTCTTTACATTGAGGTAACAGCCTCGATCGCTTTTTCTCGAAAATATTTCTATATTCGTAAAACCATCGCTCCGAAAATACAGAGGATGCTGGAGGTGCTAATAATTTAAGAGCTAACTCTTTTAGAAGTGGAGACTTCTCTTCATGTTTCCAGTAATTAAAAACGTCTTCTTTTTTTTCTATAATCGAGTGATTAAAGAAAAAAATCAACTTCTTGAGCAGCTTTTACAAGCGAGACTTGATCAGAATTTGTTTCACTATTTTGTTCTGTAATATAAAACAATTTAAATACTAAAGGTTATTTATTTATAGATTTTTATTCAATAAAATGTAAATAGTACTTAAATCAACAAACCAACAACATGCAGAATATAGCTAATATTGAAAATAAAAACTTAATTAAAAGTTTTTCTGTTTATCAAAAAAGTTTTTAAAATTATTAAAAAACTTTTTTAATAAACAGAAAGAGATCTTCTTACCTAAATTTCCTTCATACTCTGCAAGTTCTAAAAAGCAGGAGTTAAAGCCATTCTCTTCCAAATCAACTTTTTTTTTTTGGAATTTGGCGTTAAATGATTGGAGATAGTGGCGGTGGAGCTGGTAGCTCTATTAATAACAACTGGTGAAAGTCCAGTTATATTTCTTTGATTTTTTACTACAGCATCTAATAGCATTGATCTTGCTTTTGCTCTCTTATCAACAGGAAGAAATTTGAGCTTGTAGCGAGGTTCAATAATGGTGGGTAAAACATATCTTTCATCATCTGTTATATTGAGATTATCATGAGAAAAGAATCTCTTATTTAAAGATTCTATAAGTTGTTTTGTTATTTTAACTGCATCATCTTTTCGATCAATTTTTGATAAAAATCTTTGTAAAGTACATATATTTGGAACTACTGTTGATAAACTACAAAGTTTAGAACTCATAACATTAGTAAGTTCATAAAAAGGCTTTAAAACATATAATAAATTTTCAATGAATTTCCAATCATTTGATGCAAATTTTGGCAATTCATTATGATCAGCTAAATACATTTGAACTGCTCTTTTAAGTTTTTGAAGTCGCTCTAACATTAAGTACGCACTATTCCAGCGAGTAGGCACATCTTGAACCAAAAGTAGAGGTGTGTTTTCATTTTGTTGTTGTTGCAGTAACTTAAATTCTGTACATGCCTTTGATGAATGATTAAAGTGGCCTACTATTCGACGTGCTTTAGCTAATAAATCTATCACTAATATTCAGGATAAAACTGCATCCTTTATCACGAGTTGCAATAAGTGGATTGTGCAATGGACTGATGATATTTGAATAAGTTTACTGCCTAGTGACATATTAGCAGCACCATCTTTGACTAAAATATGTCTTCTTGGTGCATTAATTTCCCAGCTTTCTAACATATTTATAAATTTTCTAGCTATGTTTATCCCTGTGTGAGCTTCTGGAAAATGTGAAGCATAGAGTACAGCATCTTTGTGCTCAAAATTTTTTTTAATCCAATGTTCTGATAAGGAAATAAATGTTTCATGAGATGTCGGACAAGTCCAAATATCTGAAGTAAAACTTATGTACTGTGACTTAGCAATTTCATTAAAAATCTTTTTTTTAATTTGATCATACAATAGAGGAATTGCTGTCTCCAAAAAATAATGCCTACTTGGGATTAGGTATCTTGGTTGTAAAAAAGCCATTAAACCAATAAATTTATCATTCTCGGTTATACTAAATGGTTGATTATCTAAAGCAATCATAATAGCAATTTTTCTATGAATTTGCTTAGACTTTTCATCATAAATATCCCATATCTTCTTTGATGTAAAACTATCTTCAACAGACATCTGTTTTTGCATTTCGCACTTCTTCTTTGAAATCAATGAACTACATTTTGAACTTCCTTGAGCAGCTGAAGAACATTCCATTTTATAATTTTTTTCCTCTTCATACAATTTGCAATGAAATTTTTTTGCATGATTATGCAGCGGAGTTGTAAAAAATGACTGCTGACCAGATTTACTACACCCCCTGCTTATCTGCTTTCCACATGGAATGCAAATAGCAATGAAATCACAGCTATCACTAATTTTTCAAAAGTTTCCATACAAAACTCGCCATTTTGAAAGGTTATTACAGTAACTTTTATATTTAAATAACATTATCCGTATCCGGCCGGATATCCGGCTAGATAATTTTAAAATATCCGAGTATTCGATATCCGGTCGGATAACTGAAAAATGATATCCGGGACACCCCTAGTTTTAAGTAAATTTATTTTATCTATTTTGTTTTATTTTATATTGGATTTATTTTATATTAGATTTTATGTATTAAACTTGGATAGCGATTCCACGGCTTAACAAAAAACACGTAATTTTCATAAAATTTGCTCTCATATTTTTGTATGGTTAAGCAAAGACGGTTAAGCGTCGATATCTTAAGCCTTAATCAATCAAGTTACTGATTTTGTATTATCTGATGTAAATTTGCAAATTGCTAATAATAATTTTTGGTGCTCTGTTACCCCAACTTCTATTGTACACATCCCTTTAGGTAATGGTTCTGATAATTTTTTCCTTGAAACACAAGTTAATGAAGAGAATTTTCATTAACTTGTATTTCCAGCTTTCAATTCAGATAAAAAAACTCCCTATATTATCTGATGATTTGATCTATTAAATAAAGAAATATAAACGGAGAATCAATCATCTTACATTGCAAAATAAAAAAATTAATAGATGTTAAGAATATAAAAGAAAATATCAAGCAATCTTTTCGAAATATAATGTCCAAAATGTCAACAAAAGAGACGTTAAAAAGGATTGTAGGATTAACCAATTGTTGCAAATAAATTTAAGATTAGAAAAAGAAAATGATTTGGCTAGAAAGCGTTCCCAATCAGATCGACAAAAGGCCTGGTATTTAAAGAAAAAAATTGAAAACACTGTTTTGAAAACATCTGATGAAACAAATGATTCATTCTTAAAGGGGAGTTTGAATTACTTTGAAAATCTTACAGAAGGGCTGAAGGAAAGAGTTTACATTTTTGAAAAAAATGTAATTGACGTTTACGAAGGAGGTAGATATAAAGATGAAATTCGCTCGGTATATTACGACCTTTTAAGTAAAAATATTTCTGTTAATAATGTTGAATCTATTATCAGGACTGTACTACAAAAAATGGCTGGAATTTCTTATGGCACACTTCCAAATCTTTGGCTTCTGAATTTTTTAGTGAAATCAACCTTTTAGAAAAAGCTCAAGTGAGAGAGGCTATGTTGAACAGTACAAACAATGTTCTTCATACAGATGGCACAAAATATAAATTTAGGGAGGTTGGTAGTTTTCAAGTCACAACATCATCTGGTAGCTACCAGTTTGGGATAGAAGATATGTTTTCGAGAGAGACACAATCTTATTTTGGAGAGCTAAAAAATTTACTCTCAGGTATGTCTCAGATATTTTCTCCTGAAAAGGAAAACTATGAGGATGGTCTTAGGAAACTTATTTTTTCGTACAAACTTTTGATGACAGATTGTACTATAGTTTTTCTAGCCAATTTAAACATTGGAGAGAGGCAATTTTGCCTTTTGTTGTTGAAAACTATGATCAGCTTTCTTTAAATGAAAAATTAAAAATTTGGAAAGAGTGTTTTTCAGATGATTTGAAAAAGTAAAGAAGATGTTCAAGACCGTGAATGTTGGAGAAATGGCATTACGAGAAACATCCAACCCGTGCAAGCATGGAAACAAGGGCGCTAAAACGACGATGATAAGGTTTCTATGAGAGGTCAGTATAAAGAGATAATCCGAGATGATGTAAATTAGCAGACATAATAACAGTGTTGCTATTCATCAGTATAGGAATATCAATATCATTGCAATTTAAGAACGTTTAGTGCCACAGGGTCTGCATGTTTTTGTGATTGTGATGTTATTGTTGTGATGTTTTTTGTTGATAGATAACTTGGCTTACCTTCTCGCTGGTGTCTATTGTTAAAAATTATTATTAGGTTGTTTCATTACTAAAACTTGTTACTACTAATCATTTACTAAAAGCCAAGAAATAAATTTTAGAATAAAAACATTTTTTTTTGGTATTTTATTTTCTTATAGTTGTTGAATCACTATAAAAAATTCGAATTCAAATGTAATAACAGTTCAAAAGTTGTTCAAAAGTTAATATGATCCAAAAATACTCTCTTTTTCAGTGCCATAACACTGAAAAACTTCCATACTTACGCCCTTTCATCAAAAAATCATCTATTTTTTCACTACAAAAAGTTCAATAACTTTGGATTCGCTCAACTTCAAGGCTGAATGACCTCTCATTTTTTAAGTCAAGTCAAGCTCTATTCAATACAATGATATAAATTTTATATGCTTATTTGAATTATAAAAAAATTGTCTGGAATGGCTAGCTTGGAAAACTGACTGTAATTTGTAATTTCTGACACGTAAGTTTATATACATAAATCATTTATGTATATAAACTTAAGTGTCAACAAATTACAGATAGATAAAATAAACTTACTCAAATCAGTACCAGTTCTACTGTTTAAAATATTTTTTTATTATTCACCTTTTTATTAAAAAAACAAAAAAACAATTGAATTGAAGTGACTAAAAAGCACTTTAACTCTTTTCAATTGCTGTAAAAATAGCTTTCAGCTATTTCCAATTGCACTAAAAAATCATTTCGTTGATAATCATTCACTAAAAGCCATTCAAGACAAATAATTTTGCATATATTATATGCAGAGCCGGCTCGTGAGCTTTTCTTAGTGTGTGCAAAAAAAAAATTGTCACCCTTAATAATGATCAAATTTTATAAGAACGACGTATTTTTTTGACAAATTTTCATTTACTGTTGATCTTAAAATTTGCCGCCTGAGTGCTTTGTACACTTCGCACACGCCACTATTGCTGATTATACGACAAAATGATTTGTCTTGAACAGCTTTTAGTAAACAATTAAAAGCAGTGAGTTCCAATAATGAAAATACTTATTAATCATTTTTAACTATAGACACCAACATAAAGGTAAGCCAAATGTAACAAAATTAGTTACATAATTAACAACATTACGCAAAATTTTATTAACAGGTATTATATGTTTCCAGAATAATTAATAATGAAGGCTAGACAACACCTTAGCTTTAGGCAGTAACACCGCTTGACTGGCAAGGTTGACAAATCTTGCTCTAAACGTTTGCCATGTCACACCATTTTGAAAACATAGAAAAAACATAATATAAACATATATATTAACTATAAAACACAACATATTTAACTTTGTATAACATATCAGCATGTCCACCACAAAGTAGGGGGGGCGGGGGTTTATGGCGGTTCTGTAGCACTGGGTCCCAGAGGTAAAGAGGGCCCGGTAGTAATCGGAGAAATAGTAACCGAGTAAAATATTATTGCTTTGAATTAAAAATAAATGTGAAAAGAAAAGAAAAACTTTTGAACCAAAAACATTGTCTAAAATTAAAAATTAGAAAACAAACAGACATTTCAACAATTAAGGTAAACTTTTTTTTTTTTTTTTACTTATTTCATATATATTGTCGTTTTTTTTTTTACTTATTTCATATATATTGTCGTTTTTTTTTTTACTTATTTCATATATATTGTCGTTTTTTTTTTTTACTTATTTCATATATATTGTCGTTTTTTTTTTTACTTATTTCATATATATTGTCGTTTTTTTTTTACTTATTTCATATATATATTGTCGTTTTTTTTACGTTTATTTCTTTGAGCGATTTCTGAAGCTAAACTCATCTTCGTTATGATTACTCAGTGTAGGCAATTTGAAAATATTGTAGCGTCTGTACGATATTTTGTTGACTACGATATTTTTTTTTTTTTTTTTTTTTTTTATAATATATATTTCGCTGTTCATATAATAGTCAAATAATAAAATTACAAAGAAAATTTTACGTTAAACAAAGTGTATATAAATAAACAGACAGGGGCTCAAAGAAGATCTGGATGACTGGTGTCACCACAATCTTTTCATAGAGCCCCTTTAACAATAATATTTAAAGCCAAATATCTTTAAAAAGTTTACAATAAGATTTATTACGTAAAAAACATAAATTAAAAACTCCGTTACAAATATAAACGATAAAAAATTTCAGCCAAATGAAGATTAAAAATAAACACGCAGAAGCATGTCAAATATATATAGTTAATATATATAAGATAAATAAGTAAATAAATATATATACATGTATTTCAGAGATTTGGGAGATGCAATTTTATTTGTCGTTTAAAAGAGAAAGTGCTTTTCAGGTTTTTTAAACTGTTATTTTCTAATTGATTCCATAATGACGGGCCTTGGATTATAATTGAAAATTTTGACAGTTGTGATTTTACTCTACTCAAGTGATAGTTATGATTAGTATTTGACCGAAGATTGCATTTTTGGGAAACAGCCGATGTAAAAATATTAGAAAATACTTTTGGCAGCAGGTTATTTTTATATTTATACATAAAAATTAATATTTGAAGGGAATTAAGTTTTGATATATTTAGTACACTAATGTATTTCATTATAGGGGAAGGATTTTCTAATTTGTCTAAATAGTTAATTGCCCTACATGCATGGTATAGTATACTCTGTAATCTTACTAATTTAGTTTTGTGTGTGTTTGCCCAAACAATATTAGCGTAGAAGAGATGACAATGAACAAGACTGAAATAAAGCATTTTAAGCAATTTATAATCAAGAAAGGCTCTAGATTTATATATCGCACTAATAGCAGAGGATATTTTTGTTCCAACGAGACTAATATGGTTTTTCCATGACAGGTTCTCATCGAATAAAACTCCCAAAAACTTTGTATGATTTACTCGGTTTATTTCATTTTTATTAATTTCCAGTTTTGGAAGCCTTAACGGAAGATTAATCGATT